GGTGCTTTCACGGCTTAGCACTCTGACACTGCAGCAAAACTACCTTTACAAGCCATTACATGCGGATTAATATACACCTGTTAGTTTATTGCGAATACTTTAAAATTTTCAATTATTTAATTCGAATTGATCTGAAATACTCTACCATTCATTTGAATATTTAAAGCATCTGAATATTCGCACGAGCCTACCTTTTATTGCTACGAAAAACATCAAACAAATGTGTCACATCACTTCATTTTGAACAGTTCATCAATACGTGGCACAGTCATGCTTAAAGAAAAATGCGGGTGAGGGTTTCACGGATCATAGAAATGCCTTCGCGGACCCCCTAGGGTCCGGGGACCCTCATTTGAGAACCACTGCACTAAGGGAAATCGGAGTACTTGGAGCGTTTTCTAACTACACCTGCAGCAATACTTTTTATCTGGCTTGCTTCTGTTGCTTTTCTCGAGTACTGCAACGCTCGCCATTTTCCGATCAAGAATGCTATGTTGCGCTGATAGCAGCACAATCGTGACTGAGGTGTACTGGGTGTGCAGCGATAACGTGAGGTAAGCACGCGAGATAGATGATTACTGATGTGTGATAGAAAGACACCCCAAATACACATTTTTGTAAATGGAGAACAATTCACAGCGGTGAGGGCACTATTTTGCCGCATCGCAATAAATGGCAGTAAACTGACATTAGCAACAGAGCACAACAGTGTAACAGAGGGTTGATTGCACGAGACGTCACGCGAGCACAATGCGCGTACGATGGATTTTCGAAGGCGCTGTTGAAAATGCAGCAGAACTACGCCTTAATCCGTCCATCACCTTCCGTGCACTGCCGTTAGCAACGAAGAACTATATGTGATGATGCCATCTTAATGATGCCAAAAGTGCATGGCCTTTTCTATGTTTGCCATTGCATGGAAAAACGCTTCAGCTCATTCACATGACCACATCCACTACCACGAAATCATTCCGGAACTATGAAGAGAGTATACATGCTAAAGTAGTGGCACAGCTGACGGACGACTTGTCAGGCTTCGATATCTTTGCGTATGTTTGTACGGTGATTCATTAGTGAAAATTGGCGTGGCTATACATGAAACGCGTTACCATCGTACGTCAAACTGAGCGCGCCCCTAGCTAGTTGCGTGCAGTGCATCGCCTACTAAGTTCACTCCATCAGTGCCGCGCCCTGCAACGTATACATGTGCATTTGCCCTTGCGTAGAAATATTTTTATTGCGATAGCAATTATATGAACAGTCTCAGCTGGTTTTTGCCGTCTGCTTGTGGAACAACAAACAAAGGGCTTCGTTTTGGTTCCACAGCTGCTGATATAATTAGGTTAGAGTAACATTTACATTTAGGTTGCACATTTTTGATGCTTTTTAAAGCTAGATTTACTGCTGCTTAAAGGCCAACTCCAGCAATTTTTCAAACATGTCAAAGCAATGGTTAATATCTATGTTTCGAGTCACTACGGTCATGTGCCCGATAGTAAAAATATACTCATCGAAGTCTCAGCAACATACTCAGCAAGAATTTTAGATAAAGAAGAAAGCACAACCTCATGGTCAAGAATGGAAATCATGTAAGGCATGCCAGTTACACCAGCCGTGAAAGCAATGATGAACAGACGCTCAGTAGCAAGGTGGGCACTTCTGTGACTGACCATGCCACATGGACTAACTTCTCAAAGGTGTCAGACAACGAAAGCTGCCGTGCGTATTTATTCAGAAACCAACCAGGATCGCCATTATTTTTTTTTAAGGAAGTAGAACACTGCCACCACCAGTCTATGCCGCTCAAGTTTGTGGCTGCTGTGGCTGGGTAAATTTGCCAATGCTAAGAAGTTTGCAGACAAACTACACTTTTTTAAAGGCACCCTAAAGTACCCAGAGGTCAAAACTTAGTTATGGCGTTGCAGTTGTGCACAGGTGTTCAACAAGCTGCCATGAGAATTTTACAAAACGGTGCTGTAACATCAGAGTTACCACATGCGTTTGATGATTTAAAAGAGGCCCTTGTTTGTTTCACTCTTTTTTTCGCTAAGCTCCGTTCATATGCTTATCTATTCTCCTGGCCGAGTGCTCCCCTTGCCAGGCAAGGAGGAAAACCGGCGAGTGTGCGCACCTGCAAGCAGATAAACATGTTCTTCTTTTATGTATGATATGATAGAATGCGGAATGTTGGTATCACAGCCAACACAGAGAATTAGCAAAAGGCCAAAAGAGGGAAAAATTTTTTTCATAGAATTTACGACACGGCCGCACCTCGTAGCGCTATTGCAATTAGCATCAATCATTGTGACAGCATTGTAAACCCTAGGGCTTGAATTGTTAAAAAATTATCAAAGGAGGTTTAAGGGCCCTATAATATTGTTATGAGAAGAATGCAGAAGTTTGTAGATAACAGCTGGCATTTAAGAAAACATAATTACAGTTGAATCTCAGTAGAATGAACCGCACATTAACAAAATTTCCAGATTAACAAACTTTTAAAAATCCTGCACTGACTACAAATAGTTTCAATGTCAAATTATTTCACTACTACGTACTTCAGAATACCGAAGCTTTCAGAATAATGAGCACTAATTTAGTTCCACGTTATATTAACAACGCCTCAGTACAACGAACTCATGCTCTGAAATCCGCAGCGACAACTGGAGTGGTACACAAGCAGACGACACAGCGAATGGACGCCTTGCTTTTCGGAACACGCGCGAAAGTGCGGAGGAAAAAAAAAAAAAACGGAACACGCTTGTTATGTAGCAGTTTGGTAAATGCGAGCATAGCAGACAACAGTGCCACATCACCTGAAAGATGACAAAAATGAAGGGGCATTGAAGCGCGCTCATTAAAGAAAGAAGAGGAGGCGCTCGAGCAGAACGAAGCTGTTAGGACACCGACAAGACGACGCAAGGGAGCCTAGGGCGAACCCGCAACCATGCGCGAGGTTCGAAAGGATGGGTTCTTGTCTTCGAGCCACTGACGCCCTTGGGGCACGGCCTGTCGGTGTGGCCAGGCACGAGTACTGGGTGAGTGGTCCTGTTGACATCTCTGGTACGGCGAGCGCCCTCGAAAGACTGGAGCTGCCGACCACATCCAGCGAGCCGACGTCGCTGACAGTGTGCGGCTACGCCAAGACCTGTTGATGCCCTCTACAGCAGTATGCTGACCTGTACACCCAAGCGATGACTGCATCCGAGCACGCAACAGGTCCAACTTCAAGGCACCGGGCTAGGGCATAGACAGACTGTTTACTCTTTTCTTATGTGTGTGAACTGCGTGCGTGTACGACGCTTTGTACTGTATTTGCAATGGTTTTTTATCGTCCAATATAACTTCAATTTGTTTTCCACACTGTCTCCATCTTCCTCGCATCACACGCCTTGCTATGTGACGAACCTAACCACCACATATCTGGTGTCCGCGACAGGACTACTCTTGTTTTATCTAAGAAGAGCATCACAACGCGTGACGGTGCGGAGGAAAAAAAATAAACGAAAGCACGACATTCTTTTCTTTCTTTTTGTTGTTGTTGTTGGTGATTAGATGGCAAAGGAAAAAGACGCTTATTTCTGGAACGCCGACGCTGCAGGTTTACAAGCGCCGAGGCGAGGGCAACATTGGAGGGCAAGGTTGGCGAGGCAGAGTGGGAGTTGCAGAGCAGGAAGCATGGGCACGGAAAACCTGAGACAGCGAGGGAGCAGAAAACAAAACGCAAGAAATTTTCTTTTTTAGCTCTTTCTTCGGAAGAGGCGATGACAGTCATATGCGTCAGGTTTTTCTTTGTCACTTCTACATGTGCTCCAGGAGGCCCTGTCAGTCGTGTTCATCTCTTTTTAGTGATTACTTATTGCGTCCGCAAAACAAGTCGGCGTTTGCGCTGCGGTGCTACTCCAATGAGTTCATCTCTGCTTGCGACAAAAAAGCGAAAGCGGTTTCGGCTAACCGAGATAGTGGATCGCACTACCGAATCGCACCACAGGAATGTGGATGAGCTGGCGGCCTTCGCGCTGCAAAGTTTGTGCAGCACGCGTCAAAGAAAAATAAATAAATAAACCACAGACTTTTTAAAGTAAACATGCATTTTTTTAGTGTTCACTTGTGCATTTCTTTTTTTCTAGTGAAAAATGAGTTCCAGGACCCACCGTTTTAAAGGTAAGTCGATTTGGCCAGTGGAAAATAAGTATTTATGGTTAGTTTTTGGGCTTTCACTATAATGACCTTTCAAAATAACAAACGATTTGCCACGGCCCCCTGAAGTTCGTTATACCGAGATTTCACTACAGATTGATGAAGTTCAATACAAGTGAAGTATAAGCCACCTCTCGCATGATGTACAGCGTACCCTCTACGAATAGTCCCGGTATAGGCTATGGAAAGAGGTGCCGTATCGTAAAGATCACACAAGCGCAACCTTCAACTGACACAGTAGTGCTAAATTTTCCATGTGACAAACTGACACTACTAGCTAAAACACTCAAATATCAAGGTGAAGGGGAAGCGATAGTTGCAAGTGTTTAATGACTGTTTCGGTAAATCTATGGGGAATTGTATGTAGCCCACAGCACAACACCACTTGTGGCCAATTGCACGCTCACTAACACGGAACTGAAATTTACTTGCCAAACCAGTAAAACACTGGCCAAACACACAATTCTTGCCTTGAGGACGGCGGAGGCTTTAGTGGCACCTTGGTTCAGTCATTTCCATAGCTTTCTCATAAATGACTTCACACAAACATCATGGCCAATAATTGTGAGAAGCTGAGCCAGTAGTTTGAGACAATTATTAGAATTAATTTTTCAACAATCTGCTTACCTCTTAAGCCTATAATTTGGCAATAAGATGGAAACATGCCAACAAACATACCCAGCGAATTTTATTGGGACCCACTGACCTCAGCTGGAGTTGGCCTAAGCAGCAAGAAATGTGTTGAAAATTGGCTTTCAAAACAGAGAAAGCATGCAAAGTAATAAATTGACAATTAACAGTACCTGTGTAATGTAGTCTGCCATTCACCTTGCTTGTCGTTGACTGGAAATCTTTCTATTGTAGTCCTCGTCTGTATCACCAGTTCCTTTTAAAGTCAGCCCAATAGCATCAAAGTATATATTAAACATATTGCTGTGACATTAATAAAAAAAGAAGAAAAAAAGCTTCTTAATGTAGAATTATAGCGAAGTTACCTTCATCATGTCTTCAATATCAAAGACAAAGGGAGACTGTCCAAAATTTGCATCTACCACCTCGCCTGGTGTTTGCAAGCCGACTGTAGGGTACAAGTTGGGCTGCAAAAATATAAATAAGAAATAAATCTTTTTAGAATATATGCTGAAGACATAACCTTACCTGTAGCTTTGTGGCCAACATTAAGATTCATACTTTCATTCATACCCGTAAAGGCCTTTCTAACATGTATAAATTGCTTAACTATACTGTTATGAACGAAACGATTATTAACTAGACTTTTCTCAAATATCAATGAAAGGAAACAAAGTACGAGACACTACAGCACCAAGACATGCAAAGCTGGCACAAATTAATCATCAATAACCATGAGTCAGACATAAAAAAACAATAGCCCTTTATTTCAAATAGCAAGACCCCTACAATTAAAAAAGAACAATAGCTGAAGCAAGACCATGCCCTCAAACATGAAAGAGAAGACCTTTTTTCTCTTCTTAAAGTTCCTGATGGCAAAAAATCAATGAAAATTCCCTGAAAATCAAACCAAGGAAAGCATGGGGCATGTTACTTATAGTAACTCTGATATGAATGAGAAGGACATAAAGTGGACGAAAATAACTTGCTAACAGCAGCAGTCATCCTCCCGTCTACTTTATTGGGCTTAGCTGTGTATTTAAAACAGGGATGCTACTAGAGTCACGTAGCATGTAATCTTTCCACGAGCTGGCAGCCAGCCAATAATCCCTCGCACATTGTCTGAAGGCATCCAGTCTGCCAGAACCAGACCCCTGCTATGAATGAACAAATGAAAAGTACGATACTTTTTGGTAAACATTTGTATACACTAAAATATTCACGACCCGCTTACACAACTTCGCTGTTTGAAAAAAAAAAAAGAGAGGGAGGGGGGAGAGAGAAGTGTGGATTTGGGACTTTATGGATTACCCTGAGAAGGAAATTTAACGGTAACCACCTCTTGGGTGGTTTACATGCGGAAGCCTATGTTTATTTGTTTAAAATACTTCCAAATTTTAAATTCATGGGAACTAAACTGTTATATGCTGGAATTGAAGCTTAATACTTAAAAGAGCGCATGTAATATATTCAACAACAAGAAAGAACCCTTACAAATTTCTTTACTATTGATATTGCTCACATTAAAAAACTGATCAAGTAAAGTATTTTGGTCTTACATATAATTTAACTTGGGAAACACACATGAAAATTGTTTGTAGCAATGCATTAAAAAAGCTTGCATTTTTTAACGAAAATTGCGTTGTACATCATCGACAGTAAAATTAACTGCATACAAAGCTCCCGTGAGACCGAAATTAGAATATGCGGATCTGATCTGGAGCCCGCACCAAAAGTACTTAATCAGGAAATCAGAAAGAGTGCAGAACTTGGGCTTGAGGTTTATATACACCACATACTCGCGTTTTTCCAGTGTGTCCGATCTTCGCGACAGGGCCAAACTGAAAAAACTATCTCATCGCAGAACTGTATCTAGCTTCAAATTTTTATATCAGCTGCACCACAGTCACTACAAAATACCGTGTGAAAGCTACATAACCCCATGTGGTCTGGTCGTACAAACCACAACAAAATAGTCAAGCAGCCGTTTAGTAATCTTAAAATACATCAGTAGTCCCTTTTTCCACATGCAATATCACAATGAATTAAATTAGCCAAAGAAGTAGTAAACACTAATACAAATGAATCATTTGTTCAGTTTTTGAAAAATCTTTCATTTGACATGCAAAGTTCTGTTTATGTTGAACAGCTTTGTGGCAGTTGATTCCAGCATTCACTTTTTTATGCATAGTGTTTATCTCATAGTGTTTATCTCATGTGCTGAATTATTGTAGGTACATGTTTTATCACTTATAATGTTGTGTGTTTGTCATTGCAAAGCTTATTTATTTATTTTAATTTGCTTGTTGATTGTGGTTTACGACTTAAGTTATTGGCAGTTATAAGTTTCATTATTGATATTGTTTTTTTAATATTCTCACTCCAGCTTGGGCGCGAGCAGGGCCAGCAGTATTTGTAAATAAAAAAATAAATATGCGATTGAATATGCGGACAGGCACAATATTCAAAACGCAACTGATAAATATTTCCTGAACAAAGAAGTAATGACGAAATTCAATGACATTTAAGGACCTGAAATATTTAAGGGTTTTCAGGGGTTTGAGGAACGCCAAGAACAGTAATAAAGTGTATATTTGTCTACGAAACTTATTGCCAATTACTATTACTAAAAAAGAAAAAAACCTGGCCACAACACATTTTTTATCCATAACCGCAATACTTTGGTGCACAAGCATAAATCCATAATGGGGTACTCAAAAAAAAACATTTCATATTAAACAGGTACTATAAGATAAACAAAAAAATTAAGACAGCTTTGCACTAGCGGTGCAAAGCTGCTAGTGCAAAGCTTGAAGGAAGTGCGGAGCTGAGTGGCATGCTTTGTTTCTCTATTCTTTTTCTTCATCCATTTCTTTTTTTCACTCTCCTTTCCTTTGTTTTATCTTATTTACTCTGTACTTCTCTCCCTCTCTCTATTTCTTCCTCTTCTTCTTGCTTGCTTCCTTCCTCTTCATATTTCTCTCTCTCTCTCTGTATTCATTTACAAACCCATCAGAGTTATTGTATTGTATTCTACATGTGGACGAATGAACACCCTCATGCGGCGCAGCCTAGCAGATGAGGACTGAAGCTTAATCATGAAATATGAAGTCGGTCACTTTCCTGTACGTAGCTCGATGCTGTCATGCACACCAGTCCTCAAAATTAGAGTATGTAAATTATTATCCTGCCTCACTCAATTTTGCACTGCTCCCGATGTAAAAGGGGGTTGCACGATGAAAAGCGGCATAGCCATCACGGCCACCAGTAGCCCAAGCCGAAGCGCGTGCGGGCAGAGCACAAGCATGCGCAGTAAACAACTACACTCAAACATGAACCACTCTCACACTTACTGTTTACAGCATGCGAGTATGACTTCATATTCACAGTAGATAGAAAAATTATGATTACAAATGTTTCACGGCATTCTCCATTTTGCTATTCCATGATTAGACTCATGGACCAGTAAGCTTTTCGTTCTGCTAAAAAAAATGGCACCATAAAAGTTGGTTGTCATTTCTTTTAAAGAGCACATCCACATATACCACCAGAGGCATAAACACAGCTGTATATCCTCACCGGTAAGTCTGTAAAGGCAACCCCAAGGTTATGGCCATTCTTTGTGTAGAAGCACACGTTGTCAATAAGGTTGACACCACACCCAATCACATCACCGGTTGTAAACGTTGGTCCATAAGGCTGGCCTGTGCCACTAGAGCAAAAACTATGGCCATCATCACCATGGTATCCATATGAATGTTTGTCCCAACCTGAAAAGTGTGAAAAAAAAAGAATATTTAATACCAAATATTGACCTATTTGCTTCTAAAGATAGCCAATCATACCCTGGAGTAGAAAAGTAATCACCAGAGTTCAATTTATTACAATGCCATTTGGGCATGTTGGTAGAAGTTCGTGATGGCAAAAGCACAACTATAGTCAAATACTAATTTAGAAGTATGAGACATTTGCTCCCTCAAAGGCAGATGCACACAAGCCGATATCAAGGGGCGTTAGCTCTAGAATGACATCATGAGTTTGAGAGCTGGGAGCCCCACTTTCACAGAACATTGCCGAGCACACGAGTGAAACTATTTCTTCAGTTGCGAAGGCATCCTGCATCAGCTAAGTTAACAGATAGTAGCTGAATTCAGATTGTGCACTTTGAACTGGTTTTAATGAACTAAACACCATGCAATGTCTCCTAAGGCATGTACTGCAGCTCACAATGTGCTTAGGAGAGAGGAAATATTCACTATGACGAGGCGAATCGGTAAGTGCTGTCACAGCAGGTTAAGTATGAGACGTCACCGACTCGGGCATAATAATAATACCTATAGTTTTATGTGTCAAAACCACAATACGATTATTAGGCACGCCGCAATGGAGGGCTCCAGAAATTTTGACCATCTTGTGGCAATTAATGAGCACAGACCCAGTCATAGTGTTCGAAATAGCATAGGGTGTGTTGTGCCCAACGCTGCCTCACATAGCTGTAGCAGAACACAAAAAAATTAAATCGACAATTGTTAACAAAGACCAAAAGTACAAATTTACTTTTTGGCGATTTTTTACAATAGCGGCGTACCTATTTTTATATTTATTAAACTCGAACCAAACAAAAGAAGTACTGCTGAAGATGTACTTGCGATTATGAAATCAGCTAATGACCATGTCTGTCCCTTCTACTACTTAGTTTGCCCAGAGTAGAGTGAGCAATCACTGGCTGTCTTTGAAACAAAATGATTTTACCACTTAGTGCAGTGCTATATTTGGCCTACATGATCACAAAGGCCTTCACTATTTATCATCAGTATTTTTTGACCTTGTTCAAAATATGTTGCAGGGCTCTTTTAAATCTCAGTACACAGCCACATTTCATCTCCACTGGAATGCCGCCACCATGGAAAGTAAAATGAACACACACCCTTGTGCTTAGCAGAATGTATAACAGGTTGTTTTAGTAACAAGATAAAACTAAGCTACAGAATACCCTGAAAACCTTTGTGTAAGGCGTCCCATTATTTCAATCAATGTTCTTCATGTTATAAAGTAGTATAAGTGGCAAAAACAGGAGTGCTTTTTTAACAGCTCGCAGCAGCATATCAGATGAAAAGTTAAATAACTGCAGTATATTCAATTACTGCTCTAAGACATAACAGCTTAATATATAACCTAGCATAACAGTTCACTGTAATAAGCTGTTACAGCATAACACATGAAGACGGACTGCCTTATTTAAGGTTATTCACATAAGTGTTACCCTGTGTTTTTTTTTTTTAAAGCACAGTTACCTGCTACATTGTGATGATGGATGGAGCACACAGCATCCAAGAAATACACCAGACGAAAGCTACCTGAACAAGAAGGTTTATTTGAGGCAGCTATCGTTCTCATAGTCACCATGATATGATATCAAGTACAATTTGGTGTAACTCAGTGCAATGATTAATAACGTTACCTTTAGCAATAGGCGCTTATATGTTTACGTATAGTGCAATCTACTTTGCAGCAGCATTTCCTTAAGGTGGATACCGCTGTACTGGTTTCTCAGATCACGTTGAATGGCGTAGCACAGATGCAGCCGAGTTTTCGGTGTCAGGATCTTCATTAGACTTGACTTGAGTTTCAGGTGATCACCCGACCTCTGCTTTGTCGCAACTGTGGAGCTGTCTCTCAGATGAACCTGGTCCATGTGGCACTCAAGTAGCCCGGCTGATGTCTCGATGGTCATCATCCTGGCCCTGTTTAATTGTTGAATAGTGCCAGATAGCTACTTCTCTCCCTCTCAGAGTTTCTGGCCCAAACTGCATCACTTGGGCAGAAGTGATGCATAGAGTCTTTTTGCATAGAGTCTCTTCTTGCAAAAATAAAGGAAAATAGAAAGGCAAAGGAAGACAAGTGTCCAAACGAGAGCAAATCTGGTAGTTTAGAAGCCTCTGCAAAGATGACTTGTCGCCTTGCGGTGTTCGTTGGTAGTTGAAGAGAAAAGTGGCTAGTCTCGTAGACAGGTTACCCTGCAGAAGCTTCTTCAGGCCGTCTTTGATATTCATACGGCCCTTTCTGCGAGTCCGTTTGACTGCGGTGGTATGGTGCAGTTCGTAGATGTTTCACATTATTTAGGTACAAGAACTTTGTGAACGTCTTCGATGTGAATTGCATTCCGTTGTCTGTAACAATAAGCCTAGGAATGCGAAAGCGACTGAACATCTCACGCAACTATGTGACGGTTGATTCAGCTGTGGCGTGTTGCATAGGCACTGCCTCAATCCATTTGGAATGGGAATCCACCGCTGATAATATCATGGCACCGTTCACAGGACCGGCAAAATCGGGGTGAATGCAAGACCAGTTTTCTTGAGTTGGCGGCCAGTTCATCAGTGTCTTTGCTGGAGGCAGCGGCCCTGCTTGCACGCATATATTGCAATTTTTACTCAAAGTTAGCTTTCTTGGCCTAGTCCCGGCCACCACATATTTGTTCGTGCGACTGGCCCTATAGCCGAAGCTCCCTGATGCTTCTCCCGCCGAATATGAAGTATCCTCTCGCGTGCAGCCTTGGGAACAACTATTCTATGGCCCCAGAAAATGAGGTGGTGTGCAAACCTCAAGTCAGGCTTTCTTGCCACGTATGCTTTCAAGCATGCTTCCACATGTTTTCCTTTTGGCTATCGGTTCAGTATAAATGTCTTGAATGTTCGCAATACCTGGTCGACTTCCGTCAATCGGCGAAGCTCGTGTGACGTCACACTTGTGTCGTCAGGTTACTGTAACAAGTGCACACATTCTGGTATTTCTTCGGTGATATCGTCAGGAGTCGCGAGAGGAAGCCTGCTGAGGGCATCGGCGTTTTGGTTGTCTCCTCCAGGCTTGTATTCTATTTGGTATTGATAGGCTCCCAAAAGCAAAGACCAGCGCTAGATGCGAGCAGCTGCCATGACAACTGTAGGGCGATCTTTGCGGAACAGGCCCACCAACGATTTACGATCGGTGACAAGAATAAAAGGCCGCCCCAGCAGGTAATCACAGAACTTGGTTATGCCGAAAACCAATAATGCCAAGGCTTCCCGCTCGAGCTGTGAATAATTCTGTTGCACCTGGGTCAGTGTTCGTGAACGGAATCTTACTGGTTTGTTGACGCCGTCAACGCGATGGTAAAGAACCGCCCCTATACCATGCGGAGAGGCGTCACACCCGAGTCGCAACGGCTTGGTTGGGTCAAAGTGCATTAGCATTTTGGCATGTCGTAGGGCTTCCTTAGACTGTTCAATGCTTGTTACTTACTTCAAGTCCACTTCCACCGGCAATTCTTCTTCAGAAGGTCGAACAATGGAGCAAGTGTGGTTGCCATACACGGGAAAAATTTGCTGTTTTAAGTGAGCAGACCAATGCAAGGATGTAGCTCGCTCACGTTCCTTGGACTTGGTGCTTTCATCGCAGCTTTCAGGTTCTCCAGTGGCTGATGATTGTCACTGGTGATTTCGTGTCCCAGATAAGACACTTCAGTCTTACTGAAGGAGCATTTATCCTTCCGTACTTTTATGCCCCTTTCACGAAACCGCTGGAGCACAGGTTCGAGATGGCTACCGCTGTCTGCTTTCCCTTCTGTCACAATGACGTCTAAAAATGCTTGTACGCCATTTAGATCGCCACGCAAATTTTCCATAGTGCGCTGAAGATGGTGCGTATGACACCCCAAAAGGTAGGCGGTTGTAGCAGAACAACCCCTTGTGGGTACTGAAGGTGGTCAAATTCCTTGACTCGTCATCCAATAGAATCTGGTTGTAGGTGTCCCGTAAGTCTAAGGTGCTATAGACGTCTCCCTTGTGGGTGCTGCAAAAATGTTATCAATGACTGGAAGAGGATACTGTTCAGTGACGCATGCTGAATTTACGGTTACCTTGTAGTAGCCGCAAATCCTGAAAAAACCCATCTTTCTTCAACACCGGTGCAATTGGCATAGCCCATTCAGAGTGAGCGACAATGGGAAAGCACACCAGACTTCACTAGCCTTTTCAGCTCTTTCTTAACCTTGTTTTATAGTGCATAGGACAGATGTCTCGCCTTTGAAAAATTTCGCAACGGCGTCTCCTGTCCCTAGAGGTGAACAGGCGAAATCTTGAACAGGCCTAGTTTTTCCTTAACTCTTTCCTTACCGCCAGGAAAAGACCCATTTTCATGTGGTGCAGCAAAAAAAAGTTTATCGTTATATAACAATGTTTTTTTGTTGATTGTAATACACAAAAATGTAGACAAATAAATGTGCTTTTTAATGATATAAATACAAAACATGTGTTTGCAACACAATAGCAGAAAAAAAATCCCAAACAACAAATTTCTCGCAACTACCGGAAAAAAAATGTGGAAAAGTAAGCATGGTGGGCACAAATATCTCAGTAAAAAAATTCAAGATATGCGTTTTGTGGCATATTTACATAGCTAACTATCCTAAAAGTTTCAACAGTAGACATAAAAAATTGTTAGCATAGCAAAAAAAAAAAGTTAGCACTTGTGATTACGGGACAATTTTCTGAGGGTGCAAGAAAAAAAATTTTATCCGCAGATAAAAAATATTTTAGATGTTCTGCAGCCCATGAAAATGTAGAGGAATGAATGGTCTATTTATTTCAATAAATTTAGAACAAGTTTTTATTACACAGTAAGAATAAAAAAATAACAAACAAAAAAATTCTCAAGGACACAAGTTTTTTTTTTTTCAAAAAAAGTGGGTGTAACAAGCGAGAAGATGGCAATACAAATTCTGAATATACAT